GATAAAAGCTTCGGATGACTCTCCTTGGGTTTAGAAGTCACGCTTTGAGTTCTTCGGTTTCCTCGGGGCAGAGGAAGAGAAGTGCAAGAAGGAGCAGTTCCTTGTGGCAGAAGTAAGAAGAAGGAAGAAGAAGATTGTTCTCCATAGATTCTTACTTGACTTCTTCTCGGTGGCTTGTGGCAGAAGAGAAATTGGGTTTATTTCTCTTGTAAGTTTGTCTTCTTCGGTGTATCTCGATGTAGAGTGTTTTCGGTTTATCTCAGTGTAGAGAGAGAAGAACAGAGAGAGAAGAAGAGAAAGAGAGCAACGAAGAGTGATAGATTCCTCTTGTAAGTCAAGGTGATCGACTGGTGTAAATTCCTCAAGTAGTAAAATTCTCTGCAACTCCGCGAACGTAGGTAATTTGCCGAACCACGTAAATTTGTGTGTTCTGTTGTGTATGTTCTTTTCTGATGTGAATTTTTCTCGTTTTATTTTTTCGCTTCGTCTATCGTTCTCCTATTTGATTTATAGATATACCACATCATCGGTATATATCTAGATCTCGCAACAACACTTTTGTCTTCTCCATTATTTTTCTAGCCACCCTCCTTTGGTTTATTACAGAATCCTTGAGAGTAATCAACCAAGCGCTCATCCATGGCTAGAGCAATGTCAAGATCTACACTCTGTGTTGCTTCAACTCTGATGCCATCTATGAAGTAGAAGAAGAAATCCTTGTCAAATAAATCAAGGATCTCCAAAACCAGATCATTAAAATCCTAGATGTATTTTTTGATTGATCTTGATTGTTTCGCAAGCGAGCTCTAGCTTCATCTTCAACATTATTGGGTTATGATTCCCTTTTAAATTCTGTTTTGAAGTTGTTAACTGTTGATATGGAGCACATACTCTTTTTCGTATCTCCACACATTCTCCTCGACCATAAGACGGCCACATCAATGAGATAGAGGGTTGGAAATTGGAATTTCACCTCCTCATCCACAACACTCATTGCCCCGAAGTATTGTTCAAGTCTCCATAAGAAGTTGCAAAGTTTTTTAGCATTAATTGTTATGAGTGGAGATTGATTTGGTGAGCAGCGAGACAGAGCACTCGACGCTTATGCACTGGGTTGTGGGTGCTTATGCGCCCGCTTGGGTGCTGCCCGAACAGGAAAAGCTGATGGGCACATATGCTCCCATATAGGTGTCTGGTTCTCGAGAGCTTGGCGCAAAGGCGCCAAGTTCGGGCGCCTGTGCGCTAGCAGCGATTGGTGTTGGGAATTGATTTTTAGTCGTGATTTCGAGTGGCGTATTGTAGGGTTTGTTGTATCTTCCTTCGGTATTCTTTAACTATCATCCCAGTGAAGGTGAGGAGTGCCAAAGAGGTGGATTTCGGTGATTTGGCGTGATTTTTACATCGGATCAGAGAAGGAAGATTGTGAAACGAGTTTTGTAAGTTTTCTTTGTGTGGAGAGAAAAATTGTGTGAGTTTTTTGTAAAACCTTCTGAATTTCATAGTGAAAATTTATAGTGGAGTGGCTCTGTGGTTTTGTTCCCGTTTTTGGGTTTTTCCACGTAAATTTTTTTGTGTTTTTCTAGTTGCTTTGATTGTGCTTATGCTTTAATTTTTGTTCCGATTTGTTATCGAATTGGTGCGATCTCATTATTCTGTGGTGTGATTTAGTTTGTAATTTTTCCTAAACTCCGGTAAAGTTTGGAATTGTTCGTTAGAGATTTCATATCATTATTCATCCTTTAAAGCTTTTGGGTTTTGGCACTTCAATCCACTAATCAGTAGTGTATAAGTGGAAGTCGTCGCTAATATCACTTAAGGCCATTTCCCCACGCACATCCTCAATTGATGCAAGCATCCCACACATCTCTGATTCAGGGGCTTGACACATCTTGCTGAGTTCTATCATAAACTTCTCACACATAATCCTTCTAAACTTGTTAGTGTTGTAAGTAGGCATAGTCATAAATGTGCGCTTACATAGGGCCATATCTCCACCCACATCATTGATATGTGCAAGAATCCAACACATCTCCAATTCATGGGCTTGACACATTCCGCTGAGTTCTAACATAAACTCTACATGCATCTTTGCAATTTCATCTGTCAAGGATTGCTCTAGTTGGAATATCATGCCCCTCGTCGCACTATGGATGGTGGAATCCTCTTTTTTGTCTACGTTATTCATCCTCTGGCCTATATCATCCACTTGGGTCCCTATGCCATTTATGACTTCCTCCACTTAAAACATGCGAGAGTCAATACTAGAGATCATGTCCTTGGCTTCGATGCTACTGGATCGTGTCACTTCTCATGACATTGACCTTGTGGCAATGACTCAATGTTAATGGTTTCAAACTCGACCACTTGTTCCTTGGCGCATTTTTTGCCATGCTCGAACCAAAGCTCATCTACCAACTCTCATGCCCTTAGTATTGTAACAAGCAAATGTGCGGCCATAGCAGTTACTCCAAGCACCATGTCAATCTAATTTCTCCCACGCTTGCAAACCTAGAAGAGTGGTAAGTGTGTGAGAGAGAGAGATTTGAAAAGTAGAATTGTATTGCTTATAGAAAAGCTTAAAAGACCTTGAAAGATAGTTTCAAATGAAGGAGTTTCTCCTTATTTATAAGCTAGGAAGTTTTTAGGTATTCTACATGTTAATCATTCATAAACCTCTGAAGAATTCTAGAGACTTCTAGTTTATTTTCTAAGCATCTAACTTATTCTGGAATAATCAAGAGACATTTAGAATTCCTAGAAGTTTGAATTCTTCTATAACCTTTGAGTTTTCTCAAGTCTTCTAGACTTTTCCGGATGAGTCTACACTTGTGTGAAATTTTCCAAAACTTCTAGTGCTCCATGTTTGCGTTTTAAGATGGTTTGGATATGCTCCTTCAACCACGCTTTCTGTTGAACATCTAAAAAAGTGTGGTTAACATCCTTGATTATTTGCAGAGCGTGGTATCTAGCTATAGATGGTTTAGAGAGACGAGCTATATAATATTCCTTTGCATATGTTCATGAAACATAACGGGTAGGGTTTATAAGGTGGTTTCGTTTAAGTAATGTAAATAAAATTAAATAAAATCAACGAAGGACCAAGGAGTGCAAACAATAGATTTCATTGATGCTTGTGATTTTTCTCATCTTAGATTTTTCACGTAAGATCTGTGTTCTTTCTTTTATATATTTCATTATTTCATTATATCAATTTTATAACACTATTTAATGAAAACAAGTATAAGATAGGAGAACAATATAAGTAGATTTTATAGTTGTTTTAACTATTATTATTATTATTATTATTATTATTATCATTATGATTACTTGTTATCAACATATTTGGTAACATCTATCTTCGAAAATAACATAGTTGCAATATTTTGGTGAAATTGTTGGGAGAAAATTGGTATGTTAGGCATAGATCAATTTGAATTTTGAATCATTTTGAGTTATAGCTTTGCCTGAAACTTGTTTAAGCTAGCTTAAAATATGCATAATTGCATGTCATGTTATAATCAATGAAGTGTTTCAAAGTGTTTCATTGTTTAGTGGTTGAACGTTGAAATCCAACAATAATAGCTAACTTCAAATCCCACCTTTACTTCTTTCTTTGTTTAATTTTCAATTTTTTATATATTTTTTTGTTTTTTTTTTGTTAATTTGAGGGTACTTTAGTTGCAAGAGGGGTGCAAATTGGATTGATGGGTTCACCAATTTATTGAATAGGTCGTAAAGCATGACTATAACTTGGCATGCTTATATTTCCACTGGCCCGAATTTGACCAAAATAACTTGTTTAATATATTCAAAAACAAATATAAATGAAAAAAAAATACAAATATGATACAAAATGTGGGGTTTTATGTCAACAACGTTTCGGTGAACATCTTATGGGTATTAGAATGACGTACATTTGAGTGGTTCATTTTAAATTCACTTGTCAATTCATAAAAAAAAATGGGTTTTTTTGTGTTGGCATTACAAATCTACTATAAAAATACTTACATTTATTTTCTAACCCAAACATCAACAAAATGAAACCTTATATTTCTTTTGCTTTGCTAAACCAAATAAAGTAGAAGATAAACACACAAAATACACTAAAAAATTTATACAAATTTGTCCAATTTATGGCTATATCCCGTTACTGTAGTTAGTCGCCCAAAAATTAGGTGACCTAAACAACAATTACAATAACAAGCCTTTATTTAAGTGGCATTGTCAACATAAATCTTTTTATCCATTGTGTCATATTACGTGCCATATTTTCATTTAGTTCTAATAAATTAATATCATAATTTATACAACATGCCCGAGTCTTTTTAGGCCTATCTCTAGTTTTTTCAACATAACTCGAATATAACGTATCTACTGTTCTAACCATATCATCAGGTGGTCGATGTTTAATATGATCTAAAACAACTCTCTCTAATCTAGTCAGCCGTTGGAGCTACACCAACCCTTTCACGAATACATTCGTTTCACATTTTGTCTCTTAAGTATCAAGCCGCTCATCCACGAAGTATTCTCATCTCAGCAACACTCAACATAATTTTATGCCTCTCTTCTAACATGGAAAAATATAATAAAATTTCAAAATATCTTTAATGAAATAACTTCCTTTGAGTTTGCTTGTATAAATTAGTTAAGATTACGTGATCCAATCAGTGTATAAGCATACATAACAAAAGCAACACATTTCTCGTCAAATTAATAACACAGAGAACAATTCTACTGCCATGACCTATCCTAGACATGCTGTCATGCCTGATTAACAAAAAAGTATTCACAAAAAAGAAATATAGATTCTTATTAGTACCTAAAAAACAGATAATTCTAACATAAAATAAAGAAATCGTCACTAAATCCCACAATTTTTACATCATAATATCAAAGCAAGAATGTACAGATTGCATAAACTGAACAAATAAGCTCCTTAATAAGATTATAGAAAATAAAAGGAGAAAATACGTGGAACAGATGAAACAAAACTTTTTTTTCCCTCTAAATTACTGTAATGCCTGGCTTCATCCTGTCTGCCTTTCTAAGATAAAACGATTTACAGTAGCTTTAATTACGGGAATGGCCCGGGCTCATGGAGTGGCGAGGCTACGTAGAAGGGGCATTCTGTTCATTCCAGGAGGAGCTCTCTCTCTCTGATGCCTTTCTGCCATGGAAGCAGAGAAGAGAAAGGAATCCCTCTGGCTTTTTCTTCTGCTTGAAGAAGCTGCTTAATTTCCTGCCATTGTCCATTTGCTGCTTGGCATTCCTCAATATATAGAGGTTTTTTATTTATTTCTGCCATCTTTTTGTCAAACCTATGCTTTTCAATATGTTATGAATGTAATTTTCATTTTATTGCGCTTGTATCATGTTTTTTGTGTTGAAACGTATCATGTAAACTTGGTGGTTGAATGTATATTATTTTATTTTAGTGTGAGAAATATTAATTTTTATTGGATTTTCTAAAATTATATTAAGCTGCCGCTAATTTTATAACATTAATGCTTATTACCATAATCTCCTTGTTAGGTTGGTTGGTTCCAATTAAAAATATCTTCTAGTTAGCCTCAAAAATATATTTGATTTCATTTGCAGAATTTTCTTTTTTAAGAAAATATAAGTTATATTGTAATTAAAATTTAATCCCAATGAAATTTGTAATTATTAAATTTATTTTATGTAATTAGTTGGTCAATTTACCAGCCTTTATAATTTATGATTGATTTTTGTACGTAGCTCATTGGTCTTGTGCTTTCATGTTTCCTTTGTGAATGTCTGAATATATATATATATATATAGCTATGTCCAACAAGCCTTGGCCTATTGGTGGCGGGGTCACCTTAAGTCCCGTCGGGTCAAGGGTTCGATTCCACATGGCGTGGGGGCTCTGGAATTTTAGGCGTATGGTACGAGTTATCGTCATAGGGCCAAGAAAACATTTGAGAAATTGATATTTGAGTCTCTGTCAAATATTGATTTACTTTATATATATATATATACATACATAAACGGTTATGGTTAATATGTACCTTGGTAGTGAATATTCATGCTTGCCTTCATTCTAATCAAATTTACGATAATTCCCAGACGAAATGACTCGCTAATCACGTTTACATAACAAAGTTAATTATGTTATTTACTCTCCCTAATGATTGGGGCTTAATCCACAAGCCAATAAATTTAATTATATCAAAATTATAGAGAAACTAAAAATGGCTGAGAAGTATTATGATGCATTTTGAAGTGCAAATGTTTTGGTCTTTTTTTTTTTTGTAAAAATATATAAATATTTTCATTAAAAAATAATTAAGTTTAGAAGAACATAAATATGACAACTAATTTTTTTTTTTAAGAAAAATGTAATTATAGGCAGATATTTGTATAAAATTTAAAAACTAGAATAAAATAAATTATGTTACATTAACAAAGCAAATATCAATGAATTATGTAATTAAAGGGTTACATCATCAAAAAATATGTCATGAATTAAGCCGCAAAAACAAAATTGATTCTTAACGCACCGAGTGAAGACAACTTTTTACGCTCATGCCATCTGCCTTTGTCCGTATTGTCACGGACAGATAGTCACACATCGGCTAGGTGTAGGGCCGAAAAGCAGTATTTAAGTCCTGGGTTGCCCACCACCCATAAGGGGCTCTTTTGGGAGGTGATAGTATGCTCTCTTCTTCCCACCATACCTTGTTTGAGATCTTTTTTTTATTTTTTATTTTTTATTTTTGAAAATTAAAAATAGAAAAAATTAGTCTTTTTTATATTTTTTATTTTTATTTTTATTTTTTTATTTTTTGGAGGAACGGCGTCACGTGATTGGGTGAAGGAGAATGTCACAGACAGATAGTCACTCAAAAATTGAAAAAGTAAGATTTTTGCTTGCTTTGGCTGCCACCTGTTGTTGTAGTCCCCCGCTTGCTGCCTCCCAATGCCGCTGACCGTCGCTCGCCGCTACCCTCCGCTACCCTCCGCCGACCCCGTTTGCTTTGCTCCCTCCCCTCGCCATAGCTGGTCGATGGCTGCCGACAGTCGCCGCCCATCCGCCACGTGCCACACGCCCATAGCAATATTTTGTGCTTGATGGAGCAAGGAAGACGTCGTATACACCACTGGCGGCAGAACATAATGCTTGAAAGCACATGCACTCAACCATCCTAGCAAACATGTTTTATATTTTTTTTTTTTTTAAAAAAATATATAAATCATAATACTATCAAATGTGTGCCTAAAAATAAAAAATAAAAAAAAATGATCCCGAAGAGGCTCTTAATTAATTGTGCTAAATTTGAACTCTTATTCATCCCCTTTGATGTTCGAAAGACACTGCCACGGGGCCAATCATGAAAATAATAAACACAAAAAAACAATAAAAAGGATCATCATTTCGTGTCCAAAAAAAAATAATATTCCAAGCACTTAATTTCATCAATTTTAAAGTCTAAATTTTGAAGAATGCTGTCATAAACATAGAATTAGGAGTGTAAACGAGCCGAACACGAGCGAGCCCAAGGCTAGCTCGTGGTTA